AAAGAAAATAACTGCGAAGCTACTGGGCTAGAAACTTAGTATTTACTTTCCTACTTAGTGACAGGCTAAATTACAAAAGATTGCAAGGCATTTTGTGTACCCTTGCCTTCCCTGCTTTGCTGCAATTTAACTTTGGCAATTTACATTTACAGTGTTCAGCCAATTAAACATCTCTTATCAACTTAAGGCATTTATAGCAGAAAAGCAGCACACAATTAAAGTTCTATCAGCTAGTCAGCTTCCATATGTGCTCTAGTGCTCCCTCTCAATCTGTTTCCACAGTTTCTTTTCATACCGGAGGCCTTTTCCTGTGGTTGATCAGTCTGTCTTCAAAGTGAGGGCTTATCAGAGAGAGTTGTATAGTTAGCACAAATGGCAAAGGAGGGAGAAATAATGGAGCCAGACAAAGCAAAACAAAGAATCCTAGCAGAAGCATTTCACAGTCATGATCAGTAAGTGTTGCATTGATATTTACTAAGCTTAATCATTCCATTTGATAGTCACCATATATCAGAGAGGTAAGGAAAAATTATTAACCTTATCTTACACATACTTAAACTAACAGGTTACAGAGAATTAAACAGTGAGAGAACTAGTTAACCTACTTTTTCAAGACCCTACAGTTTATAATGGCTTCCCAGGTGGCTCAGTGGTAAAGAATCAGTCCAACCAATGCAGGAGACACAGGTTCGATCTCTGGGTCGGGAAGATCCCCTGGCAGAGGAAATGGCAATCCACTCCAGCATTCTTGCCTGGAAAATCCCATGGACAGAGGAGCCTGGTGGACTCCGTGGGGTCACAAAGAGTTGGACATGACTGGGCATACAGGCACACATACTTTATAAGTGTTCCACCAAAATAAGCCAGGTATTTACATAAATAGATAAGTTTATTTATATAACTTTATTTAAATAAAATAGATAAAAATATAGACAGTTTTATCTATAAAGACAGTCCCCAAAGGAGGTATGTTTCCAAAATATTTTAAGCAAAGGAAGCATCATTTAAGTCAGCTTAGAGCTGCCAAAAGGAGGCAACCTAAAAATAACACTGGTTAGGTTGAAGTTTGCTAAAAATAAGTTTTGGTTCTTAGGAGAAAATATAATCAGTCTTTGACAATCCTTTGTAAAATGGGAAAAAAAAAAAAAAACAGTTATAAAGGAAAAATGACAAACTTCTGTTTGATGGCATTTGGCAAGCAGGGGTTTTGACTGAGATAGAAAAAACATCCAAATGTGTAAATTGAAAATCAAAGTCAGCACTGTTGGTCTTGAGACTGACTTCGACTTGGGCCAAGAACTTGACATTTTGTGAACTTGAAAAGCCAAAAGTGATAAAAAATCAAAGGAAGAGAGAAATCTGGATAATCAAGTGAGTTCATCCATGCTGTCTACAGCTTGCATTCCAATTTCATTTAGCACACACACTAAGCTACCGACGAACTTCTTTGTGGATGCAGCAGAAGTCCCAAGAAATGGGTGCCTACAATATTTGCTTTGCATGAGCACTTGAATCAAGACACTAAAGGCACGCACACACACACACCACACACACACAAAGTTTTCCTGTTCCATCTCTCAAAGCATGATCAAATGTCTCCAGCTCCTCTCGAAAGTCTTTCAAAGGCGCTCCAAAATTCCTTCCCCTGAAAAGTATTCCTCCAGCTTCTGATTCTTTGAAGTAATAATTGGGAGGAATCATGAAGAGTAGCATCCCATGCATGCTCAGTCGCTTCAGTTGTGTCCACTCTTTGCGACCCTATGGACTGTAGCCTGCCAGGCTCCTCTGTCCTTGTGACTCTCCAGGTGAGAATGTCATGGCCTCTTCCAGCGGGTCTTCCCGATCCAGGGATTAAACCTGTGTCTCCTGCGTCTTCTGCATTGTAGGCAGATTCTTTATCGCTGAGCCACTAAGGAAGCCCCAGCATCCCATATAAGTAAATAAAATTTCCAGCAAGTGGTGGACTTGACTTGCTGTTGTGTCTGTACTTCTTCAGTTAATAGTCTTTTAGAAAAATGCATACTATGTATGTAACCCCATTTGTAGTTGGTTACATAGACATATGGTTACATAATATTGCCTTCAGATTTGTACGGGATCTGCTGCATTGGTTATGCACTGCACAACTCCAGGGAGCACCATTCTTGTAGACCACAGCATAAATGATGCCTCTGGGGAAATTCAGGTAGTCTGACTCCAACCCCTTGTTTCCTTCCACACACATAACATAGTAGCTCAGAAACCCCCTTTTCCATTAATGTAGACTTTGTGAGGTATGTTAGTTGTCTGTTTATATAAAAATTGCTATAACAATGCAGTTTCTGATAACAGAATTTATAATAGTCCTGATACACACAAGCAAATATTTGAATGTTCCTATTTTCATGAAAGGGTTTACCCACCCACTACTGCTCCATCCTTATTTTGCAGTTTCATTACCAGATTTCTTTGTTGTTGTTCAGTTTCTGAGTTGTGTTCGACTCTTTGTGACCCCATGGACTGCAGCACTCCAGGCTTCCCTGACCTTCACCATCTCCCTGAGCTTGCTCAGACTCACATCCATTGAGTTGGTGATGCCATTGAACCATCTCATCCTCTGTCATCTCCTTCTCCTCCTGCCCTCAATCTTTCCCGGCATCAGGATCTTTTCTAGTGAGTCAGCTCTTCGCATTAGGTGGCCAAAGTATTGTAGCTTCAGCTTCAGTATCAGTCTTTCCAATGAATACTCAGGATTAATTTCCTTTAGGATGAACTGATTGGATCTCCCTGCTGTCCAAGGGACTCTCAAGAGTCTTCTCCAACACCACCGTTCAAAAGCGTCAATTCCTTGGAGCTTACTTAGCCTTCTTTATGGTCCAACTGTCACATCCATACATGACTACTGGGAAAACTATAGCTTTGACTATAAGGACCTTTGTTGGCAAAGAAATGTCTCTGCTTTTTAATGCACTGTCTAGATTTATCATAGTTTTTCTTCCAAGGAGCAAGAGTCTTTTAATTTCATGGCTGCAGTTAACAATCTGCAGTGGTTTTGGAACCCAAGAAAATAAAGTCTGTCACTGTTTCCATTGTTTCTCCATCTATTTGCCATGAAGTGATAGGACTGGATGCCATGATCTTAGTTTTCTGAATGTGGAGTTTTAAGCCAGCTTTTTCACTCTCCTCTTTCACTTTCATCAAAAGGCTCTTTAGTTCCTCTTTGCTTTCTGCCGTAAGGGTGGTGTCTTCTGCATATTTGAGGTTATTGATATTTCTCCTGTCAATCTTGATCACAACTTGTTCTTCATCCAGCCTGTCATTTCGCATGATGTACTCTGCATGTAAGTTAAATAAACAGGTTGACAATATACAGCCTTGATGTACTCCTTTCCTTATTTGGAACCAGTCTGTTGTTCCATGTCTGGTTCTAACTGTTTCTTCTTAACCTACATACAGGTTTCTCAGGAGGCAAGTAAGGCGGTCTGGTATTCCCATCTCTTTAAGAATTTTCCACAGTTTGTTGTGATCCACCTACTTAAAGGCTTTAGCATAGTCAGTGAAGCAGAAGGAGATGTTTTTCTGGGATTCTCTTGCTTTTTCTATGATCCAACAGATCACAGAACAGACAGACTTCTAGTGACTGTCAATCCAATATCTTGTAACATGAAGAGTGTCCCATACTTTTTGTTCCTCTCTCTCTCTTTTATTATACTTTCTTGAAAGTTCATTGCTTATAGGAGAAATACCTAAAATTTCTCATACAAAAGGCTTCCCTGGTGGCTCAGATGGTAAAGCGACTGCCTGGAATGCAGGAGACCCAGGTTCAATCCCTGGGTCTTGAAAGTCCTCTGGAGAAGGAAATGGCAGCCCACTCCAGTACTCTTGCCTGCAAAATCCCATGGACAGAGGAGCCTGGTGGGCTACAGTCCATGGGGTCACAAAGAGTCAGACACGACTGAGCGACTTCACTTTCTTTCTCTCTTTCTCATAGAATAGGAAATATTTTTGCAAACTGCATAAATTTCAAGTTACCTTGTATCTCCTGAAAACTCTGAAATGTACCTATTTTCAAATCTTCCATACCCTGAGAGTGTACACACAATTTTGACCTTCTCTCAGGGATCACTTAGCTATCCAAGGTATTTATGTATTACAGTAGTTAGCCACTATTGCAGTAAAACTACATAAGAAATGACCTCAAAATCTTGGTGACCCACAACACTTATTTTTCTCACTCATGGGGTTGGGGGACAGCTGAGATGGTTCTGCTTCAGGCTGTGAGTCAGGGTCAGGTCTGTTCCATGTGTCTTCTCCTCCTGGGATCAGCGGTTTCTCTGGGCACATTCTTTTCCACCATATGGCAGAAGCCCAGGCAAGCAAATCAAGCTGAGCAAACACATTTAAAACTTCAGATTGGACGTGAGTTCCACCCAACTTCATTGGCCAAAAGCAGGGTGATGGCAGTAGAATGGAGAAATACACTCTGCTTCAAAAGGGAGCCAAAAGAAAAGTGAAAGTGTTAGTCACTCAGTTGTGCCTGCTGTCTGTGACCCCATGGACTATAACCCACCAGACTCCTCTGTCCGTGGGATTCTCCAGGCAAGAATACTGAAGTGGGTTGCCATTTCCTCTTCCAGGGGGTATTCCAGACCCAGGAATAAAACCTGGGTACCCTGCATTGCAGGCAGATTCTCTACCATCTGAGCCACCAGGGAAGCCCCTGCAACATCATAAGGCAAAGGGGTGTGATCACTGTGGTAGTTCTATTAGAGGCAGGAAGTGAAAAATAATCCACTATGAGCAATAAACCAGTGTGAACAATAATCCAGTTCCACAGGACTGGGATTGCTAGATCATGTGGTAACTCTATTTTTAGTTTTTAAGGAAACTCTACACTGTACAACATACTGGCTACACTTTTCCACTCTAACTTTTAATATTTTTCTTCTTATTCTTTGCAAATGACTTCTATCAAATAATCCCTCTGATGGAATCTTAAATCTTTTCTCTGTCATTTACAGGAATTGAAGTTGATTGGGCTGGATATTCCACACTTTGCTGCAGACCTTCCACTGAACCGATGTAAAAATCGTTACACAAACATCCTGCCATGTAAGACGGTCAATAATGCTGATCCTGCTCTTGTCTTCCAAAGGCTGAAGGGCTGTCATGCCAGATGAATCCGTTCCACCAATCTCTAGCCAGGCCAGGAATGATCTGTATCCTCAAGGCCATGTCTGCAATTGCATTGATTGCATTGGTGCTTTGATATCATTAGATCTTGTTGTGTGTAGGAAGATTTAATTATCATGCTTTTAAATGAATTATATCTGAACAGAAAAAACTGACCCTTTGACCCTTTGGAGATCAAAACATCTTAGCCAAATAAGGAATAAGATAAATTGTGCTCATAATCTATTTTCAGTCAATTCATTGACAGTGGAAGGAGGCAAATAGAAAGGAAATGCAAGGTGTGAAAAAGGCTTGTTTCTTACTTCTGGCAAGTTCTTCTGTTCCTTAGGATTTTGCAGTAAAAGCAACATTCAAAGAAAAAGTAACACAAAGTACTTAATAGGACCATTAAAACACATTCTAATATAGATTTAGCATTCCTCTCTGCTACAGTCTAGTAGGGGCTAGGAAAGAAGAGAAAAGTGCAAACCTTTACAAAAAGAAGCCTCCTTCTTGTGGGTTTTTTACAAAATTAGGTAGGATTAATATTGTCATGAGCTCCCCTGGTGGCTCAGTGGTAAAGAATCTGCCTGCAATTCAGGAGGTACGGAGCTGCAGGTTCGATCCCGGAGTCAGGAAGATACCCTGGAGGAGGGGATGACAGCCCACTCCAGTATTCTTGCCTGGAGAATCCCATGGACAGAGGAGCCTGGAAGGCTGCACAGTCCATAGTGTTGCACAGAGTCAGACAAGACTGAAGCGACTTAGCACAGCACAGCACAATACTATCATCTCACACTTTACATCTGTATGCATTTCAGGATTTATTATCTTCATTTGAAGTCCATTTACAAAAAACCCATCAACACCATCTTCTTTTCTCTAGGCTTCCCAGAGGTAGTGAATTCTCTGGATATCCCTGAAAGTGAAAGTGAAAGTTGCTCAGTCGTGTCCGACTCTTTGCTACTCCATGGGCTGTGGAATTCCCCAGGCCAGAATACTGGAATGGGTAGCCTTTCCCTTCTCCAGGGCATCTTCCCAACCCAGGGATCGAACTGGGGTCCCCTGAATTACAGGCAGATTCTTGACCAACTGAGCTATCAGGGAAGACTTGAGTGAAATGGAAATCCTAGGTTTAGGCTTCGTTCAATAGCCTTCAAACAACCTACCAGATATTTTAGTTCCTGTACATATTCTCCACAATTCCCTGCAAAATCTAGAGACCACTCTTAAGAACAGGAGGGCTGGTGGGGAGGAAATAGTGGTTGGGAGATATTTATATATTTATATAAACAAGAAACTAAGATTGAGATATGGCTAAAATATAAAGCCAAAATAAATTTTACCTAGCTACCCTACCGCTGACAAATTTAACTTGATTTGGGGTACAAATACTGAGTACAAAATTGTCTTGACAAGCCTTCATTACACTCTGAATGTTTTTCTTTTTTTTTTCTCTTTTGTTTGTATCTGTTAATCCCAAACTCCTAATTTATCCCCCATCTCCCTGCCCCCCAACTCATTTCCCCTTTGGTAACTATAAACTTATTTTCTATATCTGTGAGTCCATTTCTGTGTTATAAATAAGTTCATTTGCATCTTTTTCTTTTTTAGATTCTACATAGAAGTGATATATGATATTTGTCTTTTTTCATCTGACTTACTTCATTTAGTATGGTCATCTCTAGTCCATCTAAGTTGCTATAAATGGAATTATTTCATTCTTTTTTTATGCCTGAGTGAAATTCCATTTTGCATGTTTACCACATCTTCTTTATCCATTCATCTGTTGATAGACACTTAGGTTGTTTACATGTCTTGGCTATTGTTAGTAGTGCTGCACTGAACATTAGGGTGCATGCATCTTTTCAAATTAAAGTCTTCATCTTTTCCAGATATATGCCCAGGATGGGATTGCTGGATCATATAGTTACTCTATGTTTAGTTTCTAAGGACCCTCCATACTATTCTTCATAGTAACTGCACCCTTCTGCTGTGACTTTTAATATTTTTCTCCTTATTCTTTACAGATGACTTTAGCCGAGTGAGATTGATCTCCATGAATGAAGAAGAAGGAGCAGACTACATCAATGCCAACTACATTCCTGTAAGTAAGAAAAAGAAAATTAAAAATTCTTAAATCAGGCCTCCAAAAACAAACAAACAAACAAAACCAAGCATCCAAATTCTACCCCAGCCAGAGGAAGACTATTACGGCTGCAGAGATGAGTTGAACAGTTCAATAGAGAGTCATTCTTCACCAAGCTGTTCAACTATAAAGAACAGTTTCCATTATTCCATTTTAGAATAAAGAATGGCTGGGGAGGGGAGGGAAGCCCAGAGAATAATAATATTCAAATATCTTTGAAAAGGACTAGTGAAAGTGAAAGTAGATAATTACACTAAAGATCTACTTTCCTATGCTTAAATTTCAGTGTCAGTGCCAACCTATGCTTTTAAAATGTGTCTGTGTAGACACCTGGTTGCTACTGTAGAAAGATGTGGGTGTGATTTTATAGTTTTCCAAGAAAAATGTTTAAAATCACATGGATTTGTGCAGTTAGTTACTATGACTGTCTCTTTAATGGAAAAAAAGGAGAGAACATAATATAGGTGCATGATCCTTCACCAGGTTTGTCCCCAGTTAGTTCTCAGTTTCTTCTCATTTGTGTGGAACAGCATTTGGTGTTGATTTTGAGGCTTTCCTGGTGGCTCAGATGGTAAAGAATCTGCCTGCAAGGCAGGAGACCTGGGTTTGATCCCTGGGTTGGGAAGATTCCCCTGGAGAAGGGAATGGCTACCCACTCCAGTATTCTTGCCCAGAGAATTCCACGAACAGAGGAGCCTGGTGGGCTACAGTCCTTGAGGTTGCAAAGAGTCGAACACGACTGCCTGCCTTTCACTTCAGCTCGTTAAGCGACAGCTCTGTCTTTGTCTTCCAGGGGTACAACTCCCCCCAGGAGTACATCGCCACTCAGGGACCGCTGCCTGAAACCAGAAACGACTTCTGGAAGATGGTCCTGCAACAGAAGTCCCCGATTATTGTCATGCTCACTCAGTGCAATGAGAAGAGGAGGGTGAGTACTTTCAATCCTTCGAAAGTAAACGTTTCAGTCCCACTTGGCAGTAAAACCTGCACCAGCCACTGCCAGGGAATGTGCTCACTGTGGGCGGAGGGGGAAGGGAAGCTTAGAAGGGAGGGGACATATGTGTACCTGTGGCTGATTCACGTTGCTTTATGGCTAAAGCTGATACCATATTCTAAAGCAATCATCCTCCAGGTGTGGGTGTAATTTTATAGGCTTCCCAAGAAAAATGTTTAAAATCACACGGGTTTGTGCAGTTAGTTATTATGACGGCCCCTTTGATGGAAAAAAAGGAGAAAACGTTACATAAGTATATGTTCCCCTTGCTTCATTCTTTATCCTCACAGTAATTCTATACAATTCTTCAGAGGCGAGTCATTTGCTTTCTCTAAATGATCACTGACTGTTTCTTCCCCAGCCTCTTGGTCTTAAAAGGTTATGCTGTTGTCCCTTCAGGTGAAATGTGACCATTACTGGCCATTCACAGAAGAGCCCATAGCTTATGGTGACATCACGGTGGAGATGATGTCGGAGGAAGAACAGGACGACTGGGCCTGTAGACACTTCCGAATCAACTACGTAAGTCACAGAGCAGGGCTTCAGGTCCCCATGCTGAGGAAATCCCCAGGGTCAGGAAACCCATCCTCCTTCCTGGGAGACTGTGAGCGCTTTAGACTTGGCGACACTAATTCCTCCAAGAGAAAGATGCCACATACAATGTGCTTATTTCCCGTCTCCCGGAGGGTGATGTGGATAAAATACTTGGTCTAGACAGCTGGAGGACATGGAATCAGAAGGCTGCACTGTTCCGTCTCAGATTCACCCAGGGTAATAGAAGACACAGTGACCCATGGCTCACCAAGCATGACTAAGGAAAGAAGTATTGCCACTACTTATACTGACTGTGTATGAATATAAGGAGGATATGCAAAATAAGGATATACTTACATTATAAATTAAAATGTAGTCTTAGAGGTAGTGGTTTGGGTTTTATTTGGCTTTGTTTCTTATTTTGTTGTAGTTTTGTTTTTATTATTTCAAAGGTACTTCTGGACCTTATTAATCCTGGTTTCATGGCTGTTTTGAAATGCTGTTGATTCCTGGTGGTTAGGATGTCAGAAAAGTCTATTTTTCCTGAAGGCAGACTTTTGAGCTCAAGCTGAATGTTGGTGTACCAGGCTAGGTGCTGACATCAATCGTAATCACCCTGGTTCCTTCTTTATGGCTCCTTCACAGAGAGCAGTCCTAAAAACAGGAGGGAAGTTTTACTAGTACTGTGTTCTCCAGTGGAGTGTGCTCTCTGTTGAAGACGAACAATAGGACATTTCCTCATTAAAACTTGATTCTCTGCTTAGAAACAACCCTTCCTCACAGTATGGATCAGGGGATGAACAAAAAGAGCCTGCTTTGTGAAGCCTTTGCACTATGAATGAGTTTTACTTTTTAAAAGCTGGAAAAAATTGAAGGAAGAATACTATTTCACAAGAAGTATTATATGGAAATTATATAATTCAAATACCAGTGTCCATAAGTAACATTTTATTGAAACATAGCCACAAACTTGTTTACTGATTTTGACTATTTCTGTCCTACATCAGGCTTGAATAGTTGCAGCAGAGACTGACTATATGATCCACAGAATCTAAAATATCTATCTGCCCTTTGTAGAAAATGCTTGCTGACTGTTTAATATAGACAATGGAAACAATGGTCGTTCATTTCAATATAACATAAGCCCTCAAGAACTCACCATTTATTGATATTTACAAGATACAAATCCCTTCTTAACTGCTAGCAGGTAACAATGGCTTTTGCTGCATTAAGAATGTAGGCAGATCCCAGTGTAACTGCTCCATGCTGTTCCATCTCTTTGAAATGCTCATCTCCTCCCATTCTCTAAGGACATCCCTACTCAGAGTTCAGCTCAAATGCCATCTCTTTATCAAGCCTTCCCTAGTCTCAAGAGACCCTTCTCCCTTTCCTCCCAAGCTCTAATCCCATGTGTATTTCATCACAGTGCACTATAAGTGGTCACGATTCTCTGATTTCGTGTCTGCCTCCTCCATGTGCTGTGAGTTTCATATACAAGCATCCTGTTTTGATAATCCTTATAGGGACTTCCCTGGTGATCTAGTGGTTAGGACTTTACCATCCAATGCCCAGCGTGTGTGTTTCATCCCTGGTCAGGGAACTAAGATCCCACATGCTTCCTGGCCAAAAAAACCAAAGCATAAAACAGAAGCAATATTGTAGCAAATTCAACGAAGACTTTAAAAATTGTCCACATCAAAAAAAATCTTAAAAAATAATGATCCTTTTAATCCAAATGGTTAGCCACTTAATAATCTTGTGAAATGAAAAAAAAAATCAGTGAATGGATGTTTTCAAGAATAAGAGAGTATTAAGAAAACATCATTTAAAGTTTGTGTTTCCTTGTTAATTTTCTGTTTAGTTGATCTAGTGGGAGGTGGGATCGGGATGGGGAATACATGTAAATCCATGGCTGATTCATATCAGTGTATGACAAAAACCACTACAATATTGTAAAGTAATTAGCCTCCAACTAATAAAAATAAATGAAAAAAAAAAGAAAAAGAAACCAGCAGATAAAAAGAAAAGAAAAGAAAAGAAAACATCAACAGATTTAACCACCAGAGAAAATATTTAACAATAGGAATTTTATTTGAACTCTGCTTTCTGTCTTGGCTATGTCAACCAGAAAGCAATGCAAACTGCTAGACAGATATAGAATAGATTTTAATAAAATAAATCTTTCCCTAGGTTTTGCATATAGGAGAAAAAAATTGCAAAGCAAACGTAGGGTATGTTCTCTTGACAGGGAAGAGTGACATCAATTATGGTATGATTCATATTATACTTCTTGTCCTTGATCTTAAATGATGACCTTTCAATGACAAGCGTGTGAAGGGCTTCAAGCAGACAAATAAAATGTTTAATGACAGAGTTTTCTGGAAATATTTTTATAGTCACAAGCATCTGGTCCCAGAGTGCCCCCTTTGGGCCATAAATATACAGAATCTAAGTTTTAAGCTCCTGCAATGAATGCTAAACTAAAGACTGTCATGCTATTGCTGAAGAATAGATTTTTTTCTTACTTTTTTTTTTCATTTTTGGCTTATACACTTCTTTATCTCCTCCATATTTCTATATGGAATCTTTCAGAGTAAAACCAGATAAGATTACCTAAATGAGAAAGTCAGAGACATTTTGGAATGGCTAAGATGTAACCAGTAAGGTTTTCTCATTTAGTAAGAAAGGAGGAAAATGACCGTAACACACAATCTATCACTTTCCAGTACTTGAAACTTGGCATGAACTGAATAATAGGTGGAAACCAAAAACCAGCAAAAACTGGTTTGTTCCCATTGACGTGTGCCTTGCTATTCAGCTAACAGGAATCACCCATCTGATGCAAAGTCCTCTGCCTTGCAGCTACAGAGAGACGGATGACAATTTAAAGAATTCCTATTTTTGAACCACTTGCATATTTTAGCTGGATACCTTGTCAGATCAACCAGAGGAGATTTTATATATATTCTGTATACATATACAGATATAAGATTGTATATATTTATATATATGCGTGTATATCCTACAGTGTACAAGTCTTGTGCTCAACCTGTGATCCTCATTTGAAAAGAGCATTTTCATGAACTTTTTTGGGCAACCACAGCTATGTAGTGATGAAGTATCCTTAAATCCTCCTGGTGTTGAGTAATTCATTCATTCTGCACAATTTATTCTGCTTGAGTTACTTTCTTGCTGTACTTCCTGAAGACAGCAGTAAAGCTGGCCAGCATCTTTGCAGATTTCATGCTTGATGTATCCAAGACAAAGTCCTTGAACCTGTGCAGGGAAGGAGGCATTGAATGTGGCTGGGGATGTGTGGCCTTAGGCCAAGGAGACAGTGGGTCTAGTTTAAGTGCTGATATATATATATATATATACATATATATATATATATGTACACACACACACACATATACACAAATGTTATATTTTATTTATTCTTATTTATTTTTATAATTTTACCTCACCCAAGACCACAGACTCTTTGAAATTCACTTCTCTTACCTGAAAACCTAAATACCTGAAAACCTAAACTTTGTATCCAGACAAATTCTTCCAAATTACAATATAATATTCCATCTCCTGAATGGATTCAAGAGTCTTAGCAAGTTTGGGAGATGAAGGATGCATTAGATCTTTGTGAAGCTTGGATTTGGAATATTTCTAGTAGTTGATAACAAGAGCAGAATAATACTTTATGCTTATAAGGTAGTAGGGGCTAAAGCAAGTAATTCTTGAAGGACATATACCTTAGTTATTATTTTCTCAGGTCAGAGAGAATAATAATATATTTGGTGTATGGGTTCATATGAATAGGAAAATATAGAAAATATCCACTTATTGGGATTCCAAGAACCTCTCACTGAAACACACTATGCTGGGGACTTCCCTGGTGATCCAGCAGTTAAGACTCTGTGCTTCCACCGCAGGGGGCACAGGTTCGAGACCTGGCCGGGGAACTAAGATCCTGCATGCTGCCCAGCTTGGCCAAAAAAATAAATAAGAGGAGAATGTTTAACAATAATAACAGTTTTAAGAAAAGAAATGCACTGAGCTGGATGAGAACAAGTGGTAGTAATTACGTAGCAGTAGTGATGAGACTGGAGAAGGTGATGGCAGCCCACTCCAGTACTCTTGCCTGGAAAATCCCATGGATGGAGGAACCTGGGGTGGGCTGCAGTCCATGGGGTTGCTGAGAACTGGACACAACTGAGTGAATTCACTTTCACTTTTCACTTTCATGCATTGGAGAAGAACATGGCAACCCACTCCAGTGTTCTTGCCTGGAGAATCCCAGGGATGGGGGAGCCTGATGGGCTGCCCTCTATGGGGTTGCACAGAGTCGGACACGACTGAAGCGACTTAGCAGTAGCAGCAGTGATGAGACTATGTAACAGAAACCACCCTTCACAGACACGCTCACACTTAATCCACACAACAACCCTTGTTAAAAGTATCATGAGACCCTCTTCAAGTAAGAGAACACTGGTATTCAGTGAGTGCATCTTGTGTTAGGTCCCCTAGTATCAGAACCCAAGACAGGGATTGTCACACATGGGGTTTTTTGAAAGCGTAATATTGGGTAAAATCCTTACAAGAAAAGGGAAGCAGGAGAGTGACAGGAGAATTATCCTAGCCTGACATTTTGCTCCCTGATATCCATCACAAAGGGGCTTCCCTTGTAGCTCAGTTGGTAAAGAATCGGCCTGCAGTGTAGGAGACCCGGATTCGATCCCTGGGTTGGGAAGATCCCCTGGAGAAGGAAATGGTGACCCACTCCAGTATCCTTGCCTGGAAAATCTCATGGACAGAGGCGCCTGGTGGGCTGCAGACCATGGGGTCACAAAGTGTTGGGCACGACTGAGCGACTAACACTTACTTACTTAATCACAAAAGGAAAAGGGGGCGGCAGAGGATGAGATGGTTGGATAGTATCATTGACTCAATGGACATGAGTTTGAGCAAACTCCAGGAAAGAGTAAAGAACAGGAGAGCCTGGCGTGCTGTGGTCCATGGAGTCAGACTTAGTGACTGAATAATAACAACATCCATCACTCAATCACTGTGGTCTGCCCTCAGCCTGGGAACCTGATCTCTTCGGCACTTTCCAGCAGGCAGCTCCCTTTAGTGGGAGACATCTCTGAGCGATGGGGCTGCAGCCAGATGCTACTAGCAGCACCAGGGAGACAGAATGGATCACCTGTCCAAGCAGACCCAAGCTGGCCACCAACCGCATCTTCCAGTGTTTAATTCATTGCCCCGAACTGATGTAACTTCTGAATGGCAGAACGAGGATGCAAACCCTGATCTGCTTAGGCTCTTATCACGACCCAGGCATGGATTAGCCTATTTCTCCTACTGTTTGAAGCTTTATACAATTAGTATTTGTTTTTCTCAGGGCCAGCTTTGTGCCGGACACAATGCTGAGAGCTAGAAAGGGAGGTGTGCTGACCGGGAGTGGAATGCAGCCTTCCCATCACTCAAGAGCTGCCGCGGAGGCCTGAGCCATCCTGACGGTGGACGGAGTGATTAACGCTTGTTTTTCTCCCAAAGGCTGACGAGATGCAGGATGTGACCCATTTTAACTACACCGCATGGCCCGATCACGGGGTGCCCACAGCCAATGCTGCAGAAAGCATCCTGCAGTTTGTACACAAGGTCCGACAGCAGGCTACGAAGAGCAGAGGCCCCGTGATCGTGCACTGCAGGTAACCTCCTCACAGGTGCTGGCTCTTAGAAGTCGCGGAGGGCATTGCCCATCATTCCATGAACCTCTGATCAGATTGGATTAGCTGGTCAATGAGTTATGATTTTTAAAAATTTAGATGGTGGAGAGGGAGGTGGGTGGGGCGTTCAGGATGGGGGGGACACATGTATACCTGTGGCTGGTTCATGTTGATGTATGGCAAAAACCATCACCATATTGTAATTATCCTCCAATTAAAAAGATAATTTTAAAAAGTTTAAAAAATTATGATGAATGAAGTCTTACTAAATACGTGATTTACATATAATATGGCTATCTTAGGGCTTCCCAGGTAGTTCAGCAGTAAAGAACCCACCTGCCAATGCAGGAGACACAAATCTGATCCCTGAGTTGGGAAGAGCCCTGGAGAAGGAGATGACAACCCACTCTGGTATGCTTGCCTGGAAAATTCCATGGACAGAGGAGCCTGGCAGGCTGTAGTTCATGGGGTCACAAAAGAGTCGGACATGACTTAGTGACTAAACAACAACAACATTGTTTATCAGAGGTAGCAGTGAGACAAAGATGTCAGAGGAGGCGTTGGCAGCCAATAAGCCTGGGTCTAGCACTTTGAGTTTTGTGAGCTAGAATGGCTAACTCTGTGTGTGTGTGTGTGTGTATGGGTGGGTGAGGGGTAGGGGTAGGGTTGTGCAGGGGGTAGGTGTGTCTCTCCCTGGAAAGAAAAATGCTTCATAAGCTACCAAGTTTCTGACTAGAGAGGCTACACTTGCTGTCAGTCATTCCCAGGCCAAAATGCTTTGCTTCACTGGATGAGGTTACCTAGTCTCAAAATGCTTCCTTCCAAGAGCAGAAAATAAAGTTGCTCAACCCTGGGGTCAAACACGTGGCCTCCTTTCATGCAGGGAGCAGGTACAGTTCTGGATGTGGCTTCATGAGTGTTCACCCAGGCCCAGAAACATTTTACGCGAGAAGATAAGAGAGAAGAGTTGCCTGGTAGAAAAAGCAAATCAGGGCTCTGAACTTGTGGTTTTTCATGTTGGATTTCTCTCCCAGCAAATCTCACAAGTAGATTGCTTTTGATTGCTCTTCATTTCCTTTTTCTCCTGTGTGCATGTGCATGTGTTGTGAGTCATGTCCAACTCGTTGCCACCCTCATGGACTGTAGCCCACCGGGCTCCGCTATCCATGGGATTTCCCAGCAAGAAGACTAGAGTGGGTCGCCATTTCCTTAAGCAGGGGGATCTTCCTGACCCAAGGATCAAGCCTGCATCTCCTGCCTTAGCAGGCGGATTCTTTACCATCTGAGCCACCAGGAAAGCCCTTTCTTTTTCTCGCATTTCCTCACAATTCAGAGTTCAGAGTCAGCTGGCACTTCAGTCCGTGAGTGATTGGAAGGAAAGGAGAGCTGAGTTTATCTGTGACACTGGGGACGGTGGTGATGAACTGGTTAGCCTGAATCACTCCACTTCCCTCTATACTCGGAGTCCTGGGACTTGGGGACTGAAAGATATTGGATCCAAATATTAAATCTGATTTTGAGGCAATTATCTCAAAGATCCCTGGGCGACTGCAGCGGACCAGCACCCACTAGCAGGGCAGACGTGCTGTAAGGAAGGTCTGAGATGGTAAACTTGACCTAGGGCTGAATGGCCCCAGCACTAGAGTAGAGTGCGGGCATCTCAGCTAGACTTTAAAGCTGGGCAGGAGGACTTAACTCTGAGGCTCCTCAGAACGCTGGAATTGTTTACATGTATCAGCTTCTTGGGCTTCCCTGGAGGCTCAGTGGTAAAGAACCCACCTGCCCAAGCAGGACACATGGATTCAATCCCTGGGTCAGGAAGATGTTCTGGAGGAAGAAATGGCCACCTGCTTCAGTATTCTTATCTGGGAAATCCCATGGACAGAGGAGCTTGGCGGGCTACAGTCCATGGGGTTGCAAAATAGTTGGACACAACTTAGTGACTAAACAACAACATCATCATCTCCTTGAGGGCTGGTTCCTGCCTGGTTCCTGCTGGTTCCAGCAGGTTCCATATGAATCTTCACTTTCCTAAGGAATAGGGAGCCCAGGGACAGGAGGGCGACAGATGGCTAAGGCAGACCCACAGCAGTCTAAGGGAGGGAGCAGTGATAAAACTGACATTAGGAGACACATCAACCACGACTGCATACTTAAACATCAGGGAGGTAAATAAGTTCACTTGTATCATTTCTTTTTAGATTCCTGTATAAAGGATGTCATGTGATACTATTTACAAAACAGAAACAGACTCACAGACAGAGAAATTACGGTTACCAAAAGGGAAGGATGAGGGCAAGGGACAGTTATGGAGTTCGGGATGGGCATGTTCAGTCAGTCACTCTGTTGTGTCTCACTCTTTGCGACCCCATGGGCCGCAGCACACCAGGCTTCCCTGTCCATCACCAACTCCCGGAGTTTACCCAAACTCATGTCCACTGAGTCAGTGATGTCATCCAGCCATCTCCTCCTCTGTTGTCCCCTTCTCCTCCTGCCCCCAATCCCTCCCAGCATCAGGGTCTTTTCCAATGAGTCAACTCTTCGCATGAGGTGGCCAAAGTATTAGAGTTTCAGCTTCAGCATCAGTCCTTCCAATGAACACCCAGGACTGATCTCCTTTAGGATGGACTGGTTGGATCTCCTTGCAGTCCAAGGGACTCTCAAGAGTACACACGGCTATATTTTAAATGGATAACCAACAAGGTCCTACTGTATAGCACATGAAACTCTGCTCAATGTTATGTGGAAGACTGAATGAGAGAAGGGGAGCTTGGAGGAGAATGGATACATGTATATGTATGGCTGAGTCCCATGGCTGTGCACCTGAATCTGTCACATTGTTAATCGGCTATACTCCAATATAAAATAAAGAGTTTTTAAAAAATAAGGGCATCCCTGGTGGCTCTGTGGTAGGGAATCTGCCTGCCAATGCAGGAGACATGAGCTTGATCCCTGATCCAGGAAAATTCCATATGTTGACGAGCAAGTAAGCCCATGCGCCACAACTCCTAAGCCTGTGTTCTAGAGCCTGGGAACTGCACCCGTTAAAGCTGGCGTACCTTAGAGCCCTTGCTCCACAACAGAAGAAGCCACCACAATGAGAAGCCGTCAAACCACAACTGGAGAGTGGCCGCCACAACCAGAGAAAGACCGGTGCAGCAATGAAGACCCAGTTTATAGCCAAAATCAATAAATATGATTTAAAAAAAATCAGTTGGGAAATATTGTCAATTTTGTCTTCTCTTTTCTCAATGATGGTACCTATAGTTTTGGTGGATTTTATCACTTACTTGTTTCCCAAAAGTGTAGAAAGTGAAAGTGAAACGGAAGTCATTCAGTTGTGTCCACTCTTTGCAACCCCGTGGACTATAGCCCACCAGGCTCCTCCGTTCATGAGATTCTCCAGGCAAGAACACTGGAGTGGGTTGCCATTTCCTTCGCCAGGGGAATCTTCCTGACACAGGAATCGAACCCTAGTCTCCCGCATTACAGGCAGACGCTTTAACCTCTAAGCCACCGGGGAGCCCCGGGGAGCCCCTCAAACAGTGTACAAGGGCAGTCTATAAGTGACGTGATATCGGAACCTCTTTTTCAGTGCTGGAGTCGGTCGGACGGGAACGTTCATCGCCCTGGACAGACTCTTGCAGCACATTCGGGATCATGAGTTTGTCGACATCCTGGGACTGGTGTCAGAAATGCGGTCATATCGGATGTCTATGGTACAGACCGAGGTAGGAACCGAATCATAGGTATTTTTAAATTTGGGCTTGACTGAAAAACTTTCCACTATTCAATCTCATATTTCAAAACCATTGTCTCAAAATGGTTTTTTGCATTTGCTGTTCCCAGTTTCTTATTGTGCACATTCAAACTGCTCCAAGGTATAAAAGAAACAGATAACCATTCGGTGTATAGTGTCTACACTTTTATTGGTGTCCTATGCCCTCCAGTAAACCAGAGCACATGGATGTATCCATAATGGAATAAAACCTCTTTGAACAGACCGAGAATTCATTCAGTGAGGGTAACAGCCATCTGGGGAAATGCCACCAAGTGGAGACTTTGGAATTGGTGTGATTGAATTTCTATTTAAAATGCTAGACTTAATTCTGTAAGTTTGTCATTAGTTTGCCCTTCGTGTGACTCCGTTCACTTGTGAGGATAATATGTGTTGCACATGTGCTTTCTGATGAGATAAAATCTTTATGATTTTAAGGATTTCCAACCCTTCATCCACCAACACAGCCAGTGTCCTTGAGCTAAATAAATGGATTCCTTATTGTAACAACACATCTCCAGAAATAGCCATCAGTGCTACCTGCCCCCTTCCTGGGGCCTCCTCTTCTCCCCTCTCCTCCCGTGAAGCCTTTGAAATGCACTCAGGCTGGAATGGCAGCCCCGCCCGGTGCCCGCACACCACATCACGGCCTCGGAGCACCAGTGGGTGTGCACCTGTGTGTGCCCCAAGCCAGAGCACAATAGCTTCTTGGTAATCTTAGTCACCCAGCCTTTCTCGCAACTTCTTAGCTTCAGGCGAACAATAATAATCCTCCTTCTCCATGAGTGTGTGTGGGAGGAACACTTGTGGGATAGAATACAACCTGGCCTGACCGCTGATTTCACTTCCCAAGGGATTAAAGCCTGCCTACCTCTTCCCTCTGCTTTTCCCGCAACCACCACTAGATGGTAGTGTAGCGCAAAAAGCCTGCTGTCCTGGCTCCTGTCAATGCTTCCGGTTTTCCCCCTCCCCTTGCCCTTTCCCATCTGGCCAAGGTTCTGCACAGCCATTCATTCCAATGTGTTTATTTCTGAGCTATAGCAACATCATAGCACTTTGGAAACAGTAACTCATTCACGTTCAGATGGCTCAGGGATGATTAGGAAACAAGACATCTATTAGTGTCCTCCTTGAGATCACTCACATCCCAGCCCAGCTGCCTTCTAATTTGCTGCCGTGGGGACATGAACATCACCTTGTTATCATAAGTTTAAAAACGTCCCGGTTTCCCAGACAAGCCCAACTACCTAGTAATTAAACATTGCTTTATGAATCTGTCTGTATTTTTGGTTTTCGCTTCCATAAATCCATATCCTACTATGTGATTAAAACTCCCTATTATGTATATTAATCCCCAAGCTTCAAAGGGCCACTCCTTATTTTAAGTATTTTGGATTTGATGAATTGTCTGCCCCCATTGACTTAATTTATACCTTTTATAATTTTATAGACTGTGATTATAGCCTGTTAGCTTTCAACTTTCCAACAACAGAATCTTAATCCCTTTTTAAAAACTACCTTCACATAGCAGACCCTCCATCTGATTTCCAGCATCATTATCCTTCTTCCGGTGTGGACATGAGACAAGGGCTGCCACCATGTGCCTTTCTGCAAAGCTGAGAAAAAGTCTAATTTTCTCCCTAACTTTCTTTCCTCAAATTTTGATTGCTGCTTTGTTTATGGTAGTATTTTAGGTCGACATCTCCAGGGAAGATTGTCTTTTTTAAGTATAATATCCCTTCCCTGAACTCACGTGGGAAAATTCAAGGTCTGCAGAAGAGGCAGAGGTCACCACGGGTCACTTATTTTTCCCAGCTGTTCCAGTCCACTCTCAAGTTCCCTCAGGATTTTGCTGGGATCCTCTCTAGTTCAAGTTGTTTATTTATGTCAACTTCGTCCTTAGTCATGTCTGGAACATCTTGCCCATTGATTTACCTCTGTTTTTCCTTATTCCTATGCTCTTTGTGGTTCAGCCTGTAACTTGAATGTTAGGATTTTTCCTAACATGCTCCTTGAGCTCATTCACGCCACAGTTCTGCAGCCTCCTAGTTTACTGATGGTAATAAATAAAAAGAGCTGAGTAAACAACTATTTTCCTTCAGTATCCCAAAGCACTCCTTTGACACTAATGGTTTTCAAGAAGCCAGAGTAATTCTCCAGCTGAGTCCATGTAAATACAGAAACCACAGTGCCGTGCGCAGGTTACCTCCCAGGCTAGTTTCTGATTTTTCCAGGTCCTCTCGATGGCCCTTCACTCCAACCCCTCTACAAAGAGCAGAAGTCACTGATTAATTTGACCATGTCCTCAGATGTACATTTCAGGTGCCTGCTGCATGGGCTGTATCATGATGAACCCTCGTCCTCTTTCTCACCTGAGCAGAGGCACCGTGTGGGTCCCTACATGAGAGCAGAGAGGAGAGTGGTCAGATCAGACTCTGCGAGAGGCCTGAGTCCCAGCTTGACCACCGCACAACTCACTTCACCTCTCAAAGCTCCCATTCCGACAAACAGATACACACAGATATATAAAATAGATAGCCAACAAGAACCATGCGAATAGCACAGGGAACTCTGCTCAACATTTTGTAACAACCTATAAGAAAAAGAATCTACAATAAAAGACATAGATGCATGTATAACTAAATAACTTTCCTGTACATCCAAAATGAACACAACTAGGGCTTCCCAGGTGATGCTAGTGGTAAAGAACCCAACTGCCAATGCAGGAGACGTTTAAGAGTCTTGGGTTCAATCCCAGCGATGGAAAGATCCCCTGGAGGAGGGAATGGCAACCTACTCCAGTATTCTTGCCTGGAGACTCCTATGAACAGAGGAACCTGGTGGATTACAGTCCATGGGGTTGCAAAGAGTTGGACACCACTGAAGTGGATTAGTACACATAAATCAGTTATGTGCTCTGTCGTTCAGCCATGTCCAACTCTTGTGACCCCATGGATTGTAGCCCATTTTAAAAAGTTAAAAAATTTTTAAAGATGTTTTTTGAAGTTCCCAATTCTCATCTATAAAATGCAAGGGACAACGTTCACGCATTGTTTGTTGTAAAGTATGCATCAGATGAACCGATACCATCAAGATAAGCGCTTTGAAACTACAAAGTGTGGATGGCCTTCACCTCCCCTGGGCTCTCCTCTGTTTTTATCAAAGGTTTTTTTTTCATTTTCCTCTAACAAGCTTTCTCTGGAGGTCCGCTAGGTAGGGCCTTGCTTTGAGCCTCCAGGCCTCCTGATAGGCAGCTTAGATTTCTCCTGAACTCTCAGACATATGTCTGTTAATAGTCTTTTGTTTACTTTTCCTGCGGCCTAACTACTTAATTTACTTATTTATTTTTGACACAAAGGTTCACCACTGCCTCATTATGGGTTGAGAAATCAGGCACTCTGCCCTTATCGATGCCCTGTGCTTGACTCAACACCAGAGACCATGGAGGGATTTGTCATAATGAGAAAGGGAAGCTCAGTTACTGATGATATATTGTCATGAAATATGGGAGTATATTTTCCCCCAATTAAAAGAAAAAAAAATACATGTGAGTCAAAGCCAGGAAAGTCTAAAGTCTTTAACCTTATTATTTGCATGAAGTTGTCAAACAAAAGACTCCTTAAAATCCTGTGGATATTTTAACTGGTTCTTATTTAAAGATTATTTTTAATGGTATTACTTAGAGAGAAAGTCTGGGAAATAAGGAAAAGGAAATGGGATAAAGATAGCTACTGTCAATTTTGGTATTTGGAAAGATTAAAGGCAGACGGAGAGGGGGGTGGCAGAAGATGAGATGGCTAGATAGCATCACTGACTCAATGAACATGAATCTGAGCAAACTCCGGGAGATAGTGAAGGACAGGGAAGCCTGGCGTGCTGCAAGTCCATGTGGTCACAAAAAGTCATACGTGAATTAGCAACTGAACAACGGCAATAACAACATCTCGGCCTTAGTCAAGAATAATGTTCACATGATTGTACTCATATGCTGTATACACATATCATAATTTTACATTCTGATTTTTCACTGAATATTTTGCTGTGTGTATCATCCCAAATTGCCTAAAACTCTATCAATCTCATTTTAAAGACTGAATACTCCCTCACTTTAGATATATCACTGCTTGTGCAAAACATTCTCCTTTTTCTGCGACGTTAAATTGTACCCCTTCCTACTTTCTTACTTCTATCCATCCACACAATGTCGTGTATTAGCATTTTATTAATTGTACCTCCACCAACTGGTTAAAAATGGCTGCTTCAACAAATTCAAATCATCATTGAATGCTACTTTTTGTTTAGCTTTACTCACTTCATAGATTAAAAAAAAATAATTGTCTTAGTTTACAATTTTTTTTATTACTTGTCCATTTTTTTGTACATGTTTTAATATTTTCTCAGTTTACTCCGAAAAACATTTAGTACGTACAAACAAAGTGCTGGGTATTAGGACTGAAAAAGACCCAGTCCCTGCCTTTCAGGAATATTTGGTCTAGTGGTTGGTATATTTTATTTATTTGCCAAGTTAAGTGTGTGTGTTAGTGTGTTACTGATGTGGGTGAATTTTAAACAAAGATAAAGGTGTCTACATTTGTCATAATTCTTGAAAGTATTTTTCTCTCTCAGAGTCTAGTTTGCCCTTTATTTTATTCTTTTTTCTGTTTTTTACATACAACAGTTTGACATCTTTGTTCTAATTTATTTTGTTGTTTAAAGTTTAGAAAGCCCAGGGGCCTCCTGAGTGAGCCAGTGGTAAGACTCTGCTTCTGATGCAGGGGGTGTGGGTTTGGTCCCTAGTCCAGGAACTAAGATCCCATATGGAGTATGGCATGGCCAAAAAAAATTTAGAAAGCCCTTCCTTATAGTAATCAGAGAAGAATTAATCTATATATGCCTTTATATTTTTATGGCTTAATTTATTAACCTTCCTGGAATTTATTTCAGTGTATTATGAGGCAATGTGCAATTTTTTTTGAAAATAGCCCCATGATTTACTGATTGAATATTCATTGCCTTTAGCACTAAGTAGTGATAGTCTAAACTCTATTACTAAACAAAATATTTTTACAGTTGATTCTTTTGGACCTTCTAGTTTTGAAATTGTTTTACAAATAATGAAGATTGTTTCCTTTGACATTCATCATAATATTTAATACTCCCGTAGTATTAAAATGTTATATTTTTGCACAAACATATCTTTTTTTTATTTTTGGCCATGACACATGGCATGTGGAATCTTAGTTCCCTGACCAGGGATTGAACCCATGCCCCCTGCAGCTGAAGCACGGAATCTTAATCACTGGCTACCAGGGAAGTCATTGCATAAACATACCTTGCTCTAAAACATCTTTATCTTTTGCTTCAGGAACAGTACATTTTTATCCATCAGTGTGTGCAACTGATGTGGATGAAGAAGAAGCAGCAGTTCTGTATCAGTGACGTCATCTATGAGAATGTCAGCAATTCCTAGCTCAGAATCCCAACAAGTAAGTAGAAAGAGCCCGTCATGGGCACCCTGTCTTAGAACAGTGAGAGAGGATATGATGGGATAAAGCAAAGGCGGCAGCAGTTATTTGCACTGACTCTGCCCCCACAGTGTTGGCCACAGGGAGAGGCACAGTAGCACATCTTAGAGCTTCACTGTGCCTTGCTTGGTGAGTGTGGCACGCAGGAGCTTCAGCACTCATAAAGATTTGACGTCCATTCCCTCCTGCCTGAACCTTAAATTACAGGATATTACCATCCAACCCTACTTGCAGCCCACTCCAGGATTCTTGCCTGGAAAAATCCCACAGACAGAGGGGCCTGGTGGACTACAGTCCATGGGGTCAGAAGAGAGTCGGAAATGACTTAGCGACTAAACCACCATCACTACTTGTCTAGATACTTTATGCAAAAATTTTGTTGACTACAAGTGCCATAGAAAGAGTTACAAAGAAAATATGAACTGAAGTCAACATGCCCAAAGAAGAAAAACAATATTGACAATAGTCTCAGGTTATCGGAGTTTGGAAATGCCTTGATTTTGTCTATTATATGAGCACTTACTTGAGGACATCATGAAAAAATTATACCACAGTCAGTACCTTGTTCTCACATTTTCCTAGGAGATCAGATTTTGGAGGTGCAAATAATTGTGGCTAAAGTAACAAATAATCTTGTAATTCAGTTCGGTAAACAGATGCATGTGTCTGAATATATTGGTATTGGCTGCACCATTGACAGAGAGAGAAAGGAGGGGGGTGCCTTGAGGAAGTATGAAAGGATGTGGACCAGTGCGTACCAGGACAGGATTAGCATTGGTCCTTTACATCCATCAACAAAGAGAGACAGGAAGCACAAGGATGCAGAAAGGATAAAGAATAAGAGGAGACATGTGTGTGTCCTAAGTCGCTTCAGACACGACCGAAGGACTCTTTGAGATGTCATGGACTGTAGCCCACTAGGCTCCTCTCCATAGGAAGACAGACAGAGACAAATTTGCAAGTAGAGGGAAAGACATTCAGAGCCATAGAAAGGAGGACTTACCCAGAGAAAGATGCACAGATAAGCCCGCATCCTCGTGGGCTGTGAGGTTGAGGGTAGTGAGAGCTAGTGATGGAGTCAGGAGGTGATCAAAGCACTTCCAGCCACAGGGTTGTTGATGAGTGGCTTTGCTCTCCCAGGCTACTTACCATCTCTCTCTCTCTCTCTCTCTCATTCACAGGACAGAACATGATGTGTACCCATCCCCCTTTGCTCCCAGAGTTTTTAGGGGGGCCCTACTAGCCACTTGGTAAAAAAGAGCCCCACTTTGTAGTATGTGGCCAAGAAGATAATTTATCTCATATGAGCACCGGGAAGACTTAGCCTTAAAGAGCCTACTGTGTCTTTTGGACTCTTTCATTTCTGGACATTCAATAATGGACCAAATTCGACCAAATACCAGAAAGGTCCAGACGTTCTGCAGAGGGCAGGCAGCACACTTCCGAAGAGTTTCACTGGCCCTTTGCTGGCTGGGCTGAGTTTTTTGTTGTTGTTTTTAAGTGCAATAATTTTTGTACCTGTGTGATTTTATCAGAACATTACATTGTTTTCTGCCCACACTGTTGATCAAACTCATAGCCCAAAAAGGAACAGATATTGTTAGTGTCACATGATACCTCATTGTTAAAAAGAGGTATGGCCACACATGAAGAAATAGCACTTCTGCTTAAAGGAAGTTGAACCAATCATATCTGTACTCCAACCCAGGGTAGATGGGGGTAGAAAAAGGGGTTCTCCCCACAGATCCAGCACGTATCTTTTCCAAATATGAAAAGCTGTAATTCAGCTTCAAAGTAGAGTAGAAAAAATATTTAAGTCTTAATTGTTCTAGTTTTTTAATTTTATTTTTTTTCCCCTGATTAATGGTTCAGTGTTTCTTCCTTGGCCCTCTTGGACTAATATCACTGTCCAGATTCTTTTTCAACAAACTAGATCTGATTCAGAAGACTCTGTGAGGTCTGACTCTTTAGACTCCATTGCTAATTGGGCAATCTTGGTGCCTAGAGTTTGCATTTTTTTTTCTGTTGACCTGCATACATGTAAAAGTTATTTCTTTGCAAGCTATGAACACGCACTTTCCCCCAAAGAGCTGGGAATTTATGAAGTTGTGGCAATGAACTACAGCATGCTAGGACAATGATTTGGCTATATTTTTTTCGGGGGGGTGGGAAATATTGTCAAGCATCCCTCTGGATTCCGACAGAGATCTCTTTCTGTTTTGTGTTCCTTTGGGCTGTCAGTTTCATTTTAACCCATGTAACTAGCAACACTTTATTCTTTGCATTTTGTATAATTACAGTACATGATGGTGTCTTGTGACATGAACTGCTGTCAAAATGGACACAGATGGTATCCTGAAGCCTGTTACTTTGTGTCACTTTCCTGAGAAAGAAGAGGTGATGATACACAAAGGAAAACACTTTGGTTTGAAAGTAAACACAAACTGGCTGCCTCGACCAGGCTGTCCTGAACTGTCCTGTGTGCGTTTCAGGAGGCGGTGTCCCCCTGTCTGTGTATCCTTCCCTCGCCCTGGCTCCCCCCTATCCTGAGAACCTTCAGGAACCGATGCACGTGATATCAGTTTCGTATGTGATCAGTGGCCTTAGTGATGGTGAAGGATGCCAAAGGGACAGCTCTGCGCCCCACTGTCTCTTGTCACTGAGAAAGCCTGGCCACAGCGGAGCTTGGCACAATCCTTTGGGAGACCTGGCCAGAGAGTCTCAGTTGGCATCACGAGGGGAACGGGCAGAGGTGGTCCAGACCCTGCAGCTTAACAGCTTGGGTTCCCTGGGTGATATCAGTTTTGACTTGCACTCCCCTCCTTCCCCTTCTCACCGCCCCGCTGCCACCTTCTCGTCTCACTCCCACACCTGAAGTCCCTTCTTGGACACGTTAATAATGTATCACTCCATTCCCAGGAACTAAAGAAAAGTGCCAAGTGTTTATGTGTGACTTCCTTAGGTGTTCGCACACAGACAGGTCAGGAGTGAAGTGTGCACCCTCGGGTGAGCTGATAAGACACCTGCTGCTACTGATGCATTTCCCATGCTCACAGATTGGAACTTTACTTCCCTGAAACTTCAAGCGCTTTGTAAATATTTTATGACTGTCTTGAGCACCCCTTCTTGGTAGGGATCAAATAGTCTCAGATCAATTTTCCCAAAAGAGAAGATGAAGAATCCAGAGATAGAGGGAAGATTCAGAGAAAACTTACACCAGCTACTTTACCAGATCCTTCGTTCAAGGGTTTCCACAGCCGTCACTCTGTACACCCCTGGTACACCAGCGCTCCTAGAATTGTAGAGTTTGCGGTGGGAAAAGCATCCATCAGAAGACTTGGATTTTCATCCTATTAGGGGACTTTGAAATTTATCTGTCCTGACTCTCCATTGATGAACTGTGGAAGTGCCTACTAAAAGCGCCATATTTCACAGGTGTAAAGGGTATCAGATATGATAATTCATGCAAAGATGCTTTGTATCTTATTCTTTCTTGTACCCTAGGAGACTCTTGAACCAGCTCAATTTCCACTCTAGGGTTCAACTTTAAAAATTCAGAGCAGAGGTAGCCAGGGCCTCTGTGTTATTAACTAAGGTATTTTTTAATCATCTGAGTAGTGCAACAGCACAGTGAATATAGAGGCGTTAGCACATGTGGTTCACAGTAGCCTATGTGGTACTGAGAGCTGAAGTTTCTGATTTTACATAAATAGCTTAGAGAATATCTTTGCAAACCACGATTTCCCAACATATTTATGTTTCAACACATGACATAAAACTTTCTGCAGAGGGGGTGGGGAAAAGTGAAGAGAAAGGAGAGGAAATAAGATTTCAAAACTAACCTTCAATGATAAGCCTAGATATTTGGCAATTATTTCTTTATAAAAAATCACAGTGTTGTAAGTTTGAAACATATCAAAAGTGCAGTGCATAAGTTTACTTAAAAAGTCAGTAGTGTCAAATGTATTTTTTGGGCAACAGATTTCCCTTTCTAAATATATTCTGAGTCACATAATTTTGGATTAACAAGATGTTTAACTTTGAGTGATACTGAGATCAAATTTCTGGGCTGCAAAAGCCAATTTCTGAAGTTAATTGAGAAATGACCTCGAGGCTCTAATTTATAAATTTAATATATAACACCAATATATCCATACCTACACATTATATTAGTCTTCCCTTGTAGCTCAGTTGGTAAAGAATTTGCCTGCAATGCAGGAGACCCAGGTTCAATCCCTGGGTCGGGAAGATCTCCTGGAGAAGGAAATGGCAACCCACTCCAGTATTCTTGCCTGGAGAATTCTATGGACAGAGGAGCCTGGTGGGCTACAGTCCATGGGGTCGCAAGAGTCAGACACAACTTAGCAAATAAACTACCACCACACATTATATGGCTTTATTTAACTTGCAAAGGAAGGAAAGTGATAGATGGTAACCTTTTGCTGTGTTCTAATCCAGGATTTATCATTTTCCACTACAAAGTCAACACCACCCCTCAAATTTAAAATGAGAAATTTAGTAAGGTTTTGTTTTTAAGTTCCTATAAAATCTTTAATCAGATTTTATAATCTCCTCCCTTTTCTAAAATCTGTCCCTGCCCCCAGAACGGTGATACATCTCTCAAACAAAGCTGGGGTGTCAACATGTAAAGCAGGAGCTGGAGACTTTGAATCTGAGAGTTTTTTTGCAGACGTTATGAGAGCTGCTGGCTAGGGAATTGGCTCTCAACCAAGGAGGTAAAGTTACTGAATTCAATCTCTAAGAGCCAAAATCCTCCTGCTTTCTAGGAGGCCTTCCTTTCCTCCTCGGGAAACGTCTGATGTAATGTGCTTCAAACTAGCTGGCTGCGTTCCTAGTTCCCGATCACTCTCCTGGGGCTTGGCACAGGCTCAGAGCTCAGAGGCCATGCCCAGCTCTGAACAGAACATCCACTTTGGCCAAAGGGGTTAGAAAGCAACAAAAACCTACATACATACACCAACTCCTACCCCTACCTCTGGTTTTTTAACCATCCTGTTTGGATGCATTTGAAAGAAACTTAAGCCATCATCTCTCTAACTCCTGGCCTTCCAGAACAGCAGGATTTTTGTTTGTTGTTTTCAGTTTCAACTTATGCTTATCACAAAACCTGATCCTGGGGGTGCCACTCAGTAAAAGATGGAGGACCACGTATAGCTCTGGGAGTTGTATTATGAGGGACCTGAGCAAACTGAAGATTGCCTGGGGCAGGTCACCAGAACCCTGAGCGATCCCGAAGGCAAAGGTCATGACCACCAGACCTCGACTGACTGAGGCCATTCAGCCTGGAGTCAAGGACAGGTCACTAGTTTGTCGAATCATTTGTTAAACAAAGACGTGTTTTTGTAATCACTTTGAATGAACTGATCAATCAACCAAAAAAAGATTTTTTGATCACTTACAATACTTAGGCACGAGAGCACAAATCTAGAGAAGGGAATGGCAACCCATTCCAGTATTCTTGCTTGGAGAATCCCATGGACAGAGGAGCCTGGTGGGCTACAGTCCATGGGGTCGCAAAGAGCTGGACACGACTGAGCGATCTAGCACGCACGCAGAGCACAAATGGTTGCCATAGGCTAACTTGGAAAAATAGGTTATGGAATCAGAGTTTGGTTGTTGTTGAAAGGACTAAGAAAGCAATTAGACATATGAAACAAGTTTTTTTCTACATTTTTCACTTGTGTAGCTCAAATGTTGTCAATACATCTGTAATCACACCAGTAATGGTAGTGTACTTTTTTCCTAATAGCTCATAGGACAGAAACATCACATTCTCGTGGCTTTTGTTACTCATGAGTCACCACAGACCCTGACATGCTTCTTCTTCACGAGGATCAGCAAACCAGCCTAGTGTCCTCCTCAAAATCAGACTTTCCTGCCACCGCATCCCTGGCAGATGGCTAATTCTTTTCTATGAACCACTTCCAATATGCTTCTGGAATTGCCATCTCTAGGGCAGCCCATCGCTCCATTCATCAGAAAGTGCTTCCTTCTCTTGCTTGCACATCTAAGGACCTTACTAACATTAAGGGTGTCTGGCTCTATACCTCTCCTGGAGAGAGGCGTAAAGTCCAAATCCACTTTCCCATTTTGGTCAAAGGGCACTGTCCAGGTTACCTTGACAGAGGCTGACTTTCAAAACATTCCATTTGAGAAAAACAGTAAATTTATACCTCTCAAAGAAAAGTATTTGTTGACTCAACATCCCATGCTAGGCACCGTGGAAGCAACTGGGGTTGTGATGTAGAGACAAGGTCACTGCTTGGAGGAGTTTACCTTCTAGCAGGTGGAATCAGTGGTCAAGAATCTGCCTGCCAATGCAGGAGGCTCAAGAGACATGGGTTCGACCCCTGGGTCTGGAAGATCCCCTCGAGTAGGAAATGGCTACCCACTCCAGTATTCTTGCCTGGGAAATCCCATAGACAGAGGAGACTGGCGGGCTACAGTCCATGGGGTAGCAGAGTCAGAAACGACTGAGTGAGCATGCAGGCACACGAGGGGATGTAAGAATGAAAAGTAAGCTCAACAGAGTTGTACAGATAATGTGATGTGTGCTTGCTAAGTCGCTTCAGGCGTGTCCGACTCTGCAGCCCTATGGACTGTAGCCCGCCAGGCTCCTCTGGCCATGGGGATTCTTCAGGCAAGAATACTGGAGTGGGTAGCCATGCCCTCCTGCACGAAATCTTCCCCACCCAAGGATTGAACCCGGGTCTCCCATGGCAACTGCATTGCTGGTGGAATCTTTACTGCTGAGCCACAGGGGAAGCCCACAGATGATGTGATAGAAATACATAAAGCAGAAACTGTCGGCCCAAGAGCACAGGTGATTTCTTTCTGGAAGGGTCAAGAAAGACTAGACTGCCATATTAAAGTATTTAAGACTAGAGAGCCACATCAAGGGATGCTAAGGCTGTACACTCTACCCTGCAAGCAGCAAGCAGCCATAAAACACCCACGCCATCCATCACCGTGGCTCATACGGGTAACCAAACCTCCAAACCCGCCTTCTGAAGCTTTTCTTCCTGGCTGACTCTCAAAATGACAGTTTCTTTCCAGGACTCCACAGACCGCTCCAGCTCATGTGTTTTTCAGCAGAAGCAAGTGGGTTTACAGTCACTGCAAACATAATTGAACATATTGGGAGTCACATTTCCCAGGCACTTAAAGTCAGTTTTGCTCAGTGGAAGGGCGGCAGAAGTAGTAAACTCTGCTCCCTGGCCCCTGGGCCCTGAAAATCGGCCTGGAGGAACCCTGCCTACCCCTCCCTCCACCTCCCCCCACCCTTTACTTACATATCACCTCCAGATAAACATTTGTTGTTGTTGCTGTTTAGTTGCTCAGTCACATCTGACTCTGCGACCCCATGGACTGTAGCCCACCAGTCTCTTCTATCCATGGAATTCTCCAGGCAAGAATACCGGAGCAGGTTGCGATTTCCTCCTCCAGGGGCTCTTCCCAGTCCAGGGACTGAATCTGCATCTCCTGCGTAGCAGACGGATTCTTTACCACTGAGCCACCTGAGAAGGCCGCAGGTAGATGTGGTGATGACAAAAAGAGGGGAGGGGGCTGGGTCCCTAATCGACACCTGGAGAAGTCCCAGCCTGCACCGGCCCATGACGTGATCCAATGACACATTTCTACTGTGTCGGCATGAGGTTCTAGAATTGCCATTTATGGTAGTCAGCGTGCCCTTAACTAATATGGCAGCACAAGGATAACCTTTTCGATTGTGTTCCATCTCAATTATGGTGGGAGTTTCTCAGGACAGTGGTGTGTGGCTATCCAATAAAATTTTCAGAAGGCAGGTTAAAGATGAAACAGAACAGAGAGAGGGTAATACACAAGGCAAATAAT